TAAGTGCTCATTTTCCGCCTTCACCCCTGCCTATTGGCTCATAGATAATCACTGAGCAGCTTTTCTGTACTCAGCTCTCTGGTGCAGTGTGCATGCATGGGGAGAATAGTAAAGAATAAAACATGTAAGTCGTAAGACATCTACACTTCACCCACTTTAACTAGATGGCACAATATTTAGAAGGTCAAATGCTAATCTGGTTGATGTGGTTAGATTTGAGGAAAAAAATGGAAGATCAACACAGCCTGGTAAGAAGAGATGATTTTAATGACATCACTTGATGGTAAGATAGTTTTTATAATTTATTTTTTAAAATTTTTAAGTAGGATTGCTTTTAAACAATCCACATCTTTGCAAAAATTTGGGCTTTGATATTACTCATGAATTTACAAAATTTTATCGGTATGATAGAAAAATAAATTGAAGATTAAAGCAAGCAGTGATAATTATATTGGAAAATATATAGGTGACAATTGTTAAATCCAAAAGAACTTCCTGCTCTTTTTGAAACAAATGAGCCAGGGACCCTTTCCTTATCACAATAGTTGTGAGTCTTTACAGGGGCTGTAAGTCTTTACAGGGGCTGTAAGTCTGTGAGTCTGACTCACAGCCCATGTTTGTGGTCTGTTGATCAGGGACTTGGGGGAATGCTTTAATTATTTGTTCATCTTAGAGTTCCATAGGCTCAGGGATTTCTCCTTCTACTTTTCCTCTCCCATTGATTTTCAGCTATACTATTATAATAGTATAGTCCTTCAGCAACAGTCACAAGTCCATCATTCTGCTGTTTAAGTGTGTCATGATCTTGTAGGTATACACAATGGTAGAAAGTCCAACATTTGCAGGATTATTTTTTTTAAGATTTATTTATTTTTATTACAAAGTCAGATATACAGAGAGGAGGAGAGACAGAGAGGAAGATCTTCCGTCCAGTGATTCACTCCCCAAGTGAGCGCAACGGCCGATGCTATGCTGATCTGAAGCCGGAACTAGGAACCTCTTCCGGGTCTCCCACACGGGTACAGGGTTCCAAAGCCTTGGGACGTCCTTGACTGCCTTCCCAGGCCACAATCAGGAAGCTGGATGGGAAGTGGAGCTGCTGGGACCAGAACCAGCGCCAATATGGGATCCTGGCGCGTTCAAGGCAAGGACTTTAGCCGCTAGGCCACGCCCCTGGGCCCTGCAGGATTATTTTTTAAAGGAGCAGATCAAGAACCCTACGAAGAGGCTTTTTAGCTGGCAATAAGAACAATCTCACGGAGATGGGCTTCGCTATGAGGCCTTGTGATCTCCTGCAACAAAAGAGTTGATGAACACTGTATTTTGTGATGCTTTTTCCTGTACTGACAAGAGAGGAACAAGTCCTGCACCAGCAGGATAAGACCTGACCATGGCTCACTTACCCTCAGCAATGACAGGATCTTCTTTATCTCTTGTACCACTCAGACATGGGTAACTGCTGAGCATTTATTTATTCATTGGTTTATTCATTCAAGAAACAGTTATTGGGTAACTGCTCTGTGCCAGGCTCTAGGCAAGTTGTTGGCATTATAAAGATATTAAAATGTAATCCTCACCTTCGAGGAATTTACAGAGTCCACAGATTAGTGGAGGAAACAGATGTGCAAATAGATCACTGGAACATGGTATGGTATTTTCTGAAGTGGAGGTGCTATGAGTACTTAGAAAAGGGTGGAAGAGCTGCCCTCAAAGTGTGAAGGTTAGGGAATGGCATTGTTGGACAGAGAAGTCTGGGAACATATCCCAAGGAACTTGGCATTTATTGGCTTCTCAAGATCCAAATACTGTTAAGGACTTTCAGGTAAACACCCCCATTAATCATCTCAGAAGTTCCACAAGGTAGGTCTTACTTCTCCCTATCTTTGCAAACAAGGATTCTGAAGCTTGGAGGAATTCTGTTACCAGCCTCAAGTCACCTCCAGGAAGGTTGAAAACTGGGATGTGCAAATGGCTAGCAGACATATGAAAAGATGCTCTGGCTCCCTAGCCTCAAGAGATACAAATGAAAACCACGTTGAGGTACCACCTAACTCCAGTGAGACTGGCCCACATTCAGAACTCAACTAATAACACCTGCTGGTGTGAATGTGGGAGAAAGGTACCCACCTTCACTGCTGGTGGGAGTGTAGGCTAGTACAACCATTGTGGAAATCAGTATGGAGAGTGCTTGGAAAATTGCAAATAAACCTGCTCCTATCCTGCTCCTGGAAATATATCCAATAAAAGTGAAATCTACATGTGAGAAGGGAACAATGTATAATAGCAAAGACATGGAAACAATCCAGATGTGCATCCAAGGAAGAGTGGTTAAAGAAGCTGTGGTACATCACTCCATGGAATATTATTCAGCTATTAAGAAGAATGAAATTATTCTATTTACAACCAGGTCATCCCAACTAGAAACCATTATGCTCAGTGAAATGAGTCAATCACAGAAGAACAAATACCATAATATTCTCTCTTATATAAGGAAACCAATATGGAAAATGTAACTCCAATAATCAATCCATACTGTTTTGATTGTTTGCTTTTTTGGCTTTATCCCATGTGTTTTGATGTTTTTTATTTCAGTTCGATTCATTCCAAATAATCTCTTTTCTCTAGTTGAATTCTTCACAGGCTCATGAATTATATGATGGCATCATTTTTCCCAATGGCATCATTTTTCTTCTGTGTTTCCTTTTTGTCACTTGTGTTGGTTACTCAGTGGCACTTTTTTTTTTCATGGTACTGTAATTTGTTGTTGTTGTGACTGTTCTAACTCATACCACTTGTTGACCTTGTCTCATGGCTTCTCACTTATGGTAATGTATAGTGATGGATTACTGGGGTCTATCATATACAGACATGGAGGTATAATGGAACATGCATCCCTGCATCCAGATGAAAGATAGAATCCCAATGAAACTGTTGGACATGTGTAGATAATGGGATGCTGGACCATCTGACATTGTCTGTACCGACAGTGTCAGGGTGCACTTAAACAAGAGACTGATAGAATTATGATTCCTTATCAAGGACTACACTATTGTAACAAAATGGGAAAAATCTGAGTGGGGTGGGAATTTGGGGGGAATCCCAGCCTGCACAAAATTGTACCACATAATTCAAAATTCAAAATAAAATATATTTTTAAAAAAAAAGAAAACTTGGATGTGGACCTAATGTTGGGAGATTTCCAAGTCTATTGTCTTTCTGTCACACATTCCTGCCTGTGTTCTAGAGAAACTATGAAAGAGCAGTTGGAGGAAAATAGGAAGTTAATTCTGCTGACAAATACCATATGGGAGTAAGTGCTAGAAAACAAATCTGAAGCCAGGTGAGGAGGGGCGTCATCCGATAACCGTTCAGTCTGAAAGCACTGAATAAATGGTCTTTTCCAAAACTAAGAAATGATGTAATGAATATAGGTCCTATCCCCAGATACTTACTGTCTGACCGGGGGAAGGTGGAAATACTTTTCTCTTTTGGAATTAAACATAAGCTTTGTCCTTCTGAGAAGTGAAAGCAAAATATGAGCAGATCAGCAGGACTGCTCGTTCTGTTTAAAAACCTTAGGCAATGAAAAAAAGATTTGAAATATGTAGTAGGAACTGTGAGGTGTGACATTGTCCCTATCTGAATTTGGAGATGGAAGTCATGAAAATGTGCACCCAGGGGGTTGTGACTGGGCCTATTTTGGATAGGGTCACATTTTGCTAGTTTATTGAGCAAGGAAAGGAAGTTCTGGAAGTTAGTTTACTCTTGGTGGAAGGACACTCTCCAGGCATGCTTGGGAGACGTGAGACATCCTGGCCAGACCTGAGATGACTGTTTGCTAACTCCTTTCACTTGTCCCCTCCATATTTCCTGTCTGCTGTGTATGCCTGTGCATAGTCCTCACAGCCCTGCTACTGCCTTAGCCTGTTTGCCTTCTCTGGCTAAAACACTTAGATTTTCTCCCTTAGAAAGTATGCATGTTAGCTTAAATGACAATTATAAGATTCCCCTTGGATTTATGAAGGACATTATCTTCTGTGAGTTCAAAGTTTCTTTAAGGTTGTCATTCTATACTATTCTAAGTACATCTCTATAAGTAAGAATGATTTTGAGTTTTCTTTGACGCTGTTATAAGTGCTTCTCTGTGAATTAGAAGAGACAGATTTTGTGAGATATTCAGAGATGCAGAGGCTGAAATGCATGTCAATCCGAACAATATTTTTCCAGCTAGTGCATATTGGGGAAGTTGTATGAGGGCAGTATTTGGTTTGTTATTTAGGTCTTAATTTTACCCCTGAGCATGAAAAGACTGTAAAATTCTTAAAAGTAGTATCTGCACGAATGGAAATTCCGTGCACATCCCATCTTCCTCTAATCTTCCTATTCCAACCTATCGTTTCTGTGTGCATTTCCTTTGATACCAGGGACATCATGTTTCCTTCCCTCAGTTTTACAGGAAAGGCTCTGACAAACCCATGTCTCCAACTTGGGAAGTCCTGATGAACTGATAATTACCCCACTGGTTATTTAGTGATTACTAGGCACTGGGCATATGCTGCAGAGGCCTGTTTATATGCATTACTTTATTTAATCCTTAGCCACCCAGACTTGGATCATTATGATTAAACCCCTTTTACAGAAAAAAGAAGCCAAGACTTAGAGCAGCTTATTGTGTAATCCCTTCCTGCAATATTTGCCTTTGAACAGTGGACACAGAAGACTAAAGTCAAAAGATAAATCTGCTCTTGAGAAATTTCAGATATCATCTGGGCACTATGCATTAAATATTTGAATTTTTTAAAGTGTGTTGGCTTTGACTTCTCTGACTTTTCAGTCAAAGGGAATATAGATTTGTTTATCCTCTGGGAGGTTTGTGGGGTCTTCTAAGGCCCTAGAGCTTCATTTTGGCTGCATGTTTATAAATTTCTTAAGGCAATTTCACAATGAGTTCATTTATCAATTGTGGTTCTCAGCAAAGCAAAACTCTTTTCCTTTTGTAGACATTTGCCTGAAAAAATTAAGGATGATCAGCAACTAAAGAATATGAGTGGCCAATGGTTTTATGAAGCCAAGGCAAAAAGACACAGAGACAAAATCCATGGTGCAGATCTCATTAGAGCATCCATGAGAAAGAAGAGGATTCAGGCACCAGGTGAGTTGACTTGGTCACTGTTCTTAACACCAGCACTCATGTAGGAAGGAGGAGTTGGGAGAAGGGAATGAGTGTCATAATCATTACAGAAATCTGCCAAGAGAAATCATTGGGACATATATTCTGGCTTAATGTCACTCTGTTCTGTATTCCAACAAATTGAGGACAGGGCTATGTACTTCAGTAAGGAGTAGAGAAAAATGCAAAGTTCAGTGAGTGCCATGAATAGTTACAGTAGCATAGATAGGATTTGTAAGGAATCTACCACCTCTTCCTTTGCTTTTAATTTTGATGATTCATAACCTGTTAAGAAAGGTAAAGAATTTAGACAAAGAGGTCAGCCTTCCTGTACAATCTATACATATATATATGTGTGTGTGTGTGTTTTCATTTGAAAGGCAGATTTTCTAGAGAAAGGAGAGACAGATAAAGGTCTTCCATCTACTGGTTCACTCCCTGAATGGTCACAATGGCCAGATCTGAGCTGATCTGAAGCCAGAAGCCAAGAGATTCTTCCACGCGTCCCATGTGTATGCAGGGTCTCGAGGACCTGAGACATCCTCCATTGCCTTCTCAGGCCATAAGTGTGGAACTGTGTGAGAAGTTGAGCAGAGCCCATAAGGGGTACTGGCATCATAGATAAGAGGATTAGCCTGTTGTGCTGCTACAACTCCTCTTGCCCCCTATATCATGATATTAATATTTGGCATTGTTTCAGGCAAACAAAGACATTATTTAAAGGACTATAAGGGAAACATTTTTAGGGCTCTTTAAGTATTTTAAGAGTTCATCCAATATTTACTGACACCTTCTATTTATTCTCTGGATTAGTTGATGAAATCTGTCTAGATCTGGCCTGTATTCAATAAAAGCAAATAACTATCAGGCATTAAAGTGTGGTAGACATTTACTCTGTATGATTTCTAGTTGTAGTAGAAAAGCCATTAGGTGGGTGTGATTTTCCTTATTCTATGGGTTATGTAAAACTTAGAGAAGTAACTTGCCTGAGAAGCATATAATTAGCTAATGACAGACCTCGATTTCAAAGTTTCACTTACTGCCACTCACATTGCCAATAAAAATTGCTTAGGATGCAAGGTGTTGCTTGAAGCACTCTTACTTTTCAAATGCACTCAGACCTTCAGAAATCCTGAGGGGTACTTGTTTGTACTATGGACTCCATTTGCCACTGAGGTGAGGAAATGACTTGTGTGTAAAAGGACCTGTAGTAGTTGCAACCCTTGGTGTATTTGGAAATTGGGAGCTGCAGTATTGTCCTGTCTTCTTAACACTGATGAAAGTATTTTTGGCACTTTACTGGCTGCCTATATGGCTTTGGGCAGGTTTCTCCAATTCTTTGATTCTCAGTTACCAAATATATAAACTTGAAAATCCCACCCCATGGAATAATGCATGCAAAGATCTCAGACCAGTGCTTGGGAGCTAATTATCATTCAGTTGATGCTGATTATCTGAGAAGTTCAGGTAAAGAAAAGTCTCAGGTGTCCATAGACAAAGACATTGTTCCCTGGTGAGGGAGCACAGAGGGGACTCTAGCATCTGAATATCATCTGACATCTGAATATCAAGGAGTATGCAGGATTTGGACGTGTATGTTGTGGGGATGTGGAGAGGGACATTCTGGAATCTTCTGTGTCCCTTTGAATTCCAGAGCAAACCCTGTGTTGGGCACATTGTCTGGCTCAGTAGATTTTTATTAAACATGGTGCTTCTGTTCCAATGAGAATGTCCTATCCTGGTCATGAACATTCAGTCCCAATCTGAATTCAGGTCAGGTTAACCTAGAGGCAGACAGAATTGTGCTTTAGTTGACTCTGGAGTAACCTGTATTTGTAAGGATATTCCTGCACTCTCCACAGACTCAGCTTGGAAAAAAAGCAATATTGTGGAGTTCTGTTAATTGCTGTCACACATGTGGTTCTTATCTCAAGTATTTAGACTCAGTGGTGAGGGTGGCATTCAGAAGGCCTAGGGTCCAGATTTAAGCCTTCAATGATAGAGGCCAGAAGGGTGATAATCATGGAGGTGAGAGGTAACCCTCCTGTCTCTATCATTTCCTGTTTCAGCTGAGCAGAGTAAGAATGGAACAAGGGGGGAAAAGGAAAGCTGGGTGAATAATGTCAACAAAGATGCTTTGCTTCCTCCAGAACCAGCTGGTATTATAGAACAGCAGGAAGAGGATGTGACACCAGCGTGGCCAAGGTAAGGGAGAACAACTGCATGTGGTTTGGGGGCTGGGTGTGTTGTACACACAGAATGGCAAGCTATGAGAAAAAGTGCCTGACTGGTGTTGCAGACAAAGGGAAGATGTTGAAACAATCTGGGATGAGCTGTTAATTGATACTGTGATGTTGGGCTCTTATTTTCTCAGGTTCAAGAGGGGAATAATATTAGTCATAGGAGTTCTAAGAATTTATTTGCCTGGTAAATGTAGAATTTTAAAAATAGACCAAAAACTCATAACAAAAGCTCAATAGAAAAAGTCTTAAAAACACACAGATATTTTATGAAATCCAAAAAAAGGTGTGAAAAACATTAATCTTTTCTCAATTACCAGGGTTTTATAATCTTTCTAGTGGGGTAAAGGCCTTTCTTTCCTAAAGAAAGATAAAACGTGAAGTAGTAGAGACACTGAGAGAAGCAACAGTCATTTAGATTTACCAGGGAGCTGAAAGCAGCTCGTAAGAGCCAGATATGATGGAAATGGAGCATGAGGGTACTAATCAGCTGAGGCAAGAAGGAGTAAGACTTGGGAGGGATCAGAGACTACCCTAGCTCATTACACATTTGTATCTGCATTAGACTTCACAACCTTCTTCGAAGACTTCATTCGATCTCCCAGGCTGGAAGGACATAAGTGCCACTACCCTCAAAACCAACACATTTCTCTCATGATTCCACAGGGCTGTGTGGTGTTCTGCCCATGTTCTTCAACTTGAGGCTAACAATACTACATCTTTAACAATTCTGATGTTCACTGTTTTCCACATTTCTTGTGTGATCTCAGACAAGTCTTTCAGGTCTTAGGTATAAATCAGGACAACGTTGCCTCACCAGGATGGCATAAAATTAATGAAAAGAAGGTATGCAAGTCATGTTAGCAATTTCTTCAGGAGAAAGGAAAGCTGGCAATTTCCAGGTGATATCATAATTATGTAATTATTATCTAGATGAAATGTAGTTGAGAAAACAAGAGTAAAGATGTCAGTGAACTGTGCAGTGGGTTAAGTTACTACTTGCAATCCCAGCATCCCATATTGGAATGCTGACTTGAATACTGAATGCTCCACTTCCGATCTAGCTTCCCTTATGTGCTTAAGAAAGAAGATAATGACCCAGTCACTTGAGTCCCAGCCATCCACTTGGGAGATCCATGTGAGTTCTGGGTTCCTGGCTTTGGCCTGGCCCTAGCTCAGGCGGTTACAGCCATCTGGGGAGTGGACCCATAGATGGAAGATCAATAAATGTCTGTCTGTCAGTCGCTCTGCTTAAGTCTTCCCTTTAAAAAGATGTTCAATGTACACAGCATTCTTTGGCATATTAAAGACCCAGATGATACAGGTGGCAACCAGACAGAACTATAGAGCTGTTTTTACTTCCTCCTTTCTGTGTCAGAAGCTACTAGTTTACTTGATATCATGTTCCTGCAGTGTTTCTCATTCATAGTTTAACCTTTGTAAACTGGGTGTGTTGAGTGTATTTTAGGACCTGTACTTTTAGACTAAGTGAATTTGAGTAGAATGACTCAATGCTTGTCAATGTTTTCTTAGCCAGAAGTCAGGAGTTGGGAACTGTGAGGCAATAGTAACTGGCTATTATAGTTTCTGAAGAAGCCATTCTAAGAGGCTCTGTTCCAAGAGCTTTTCTGCAGGAGGCAAAATTCTGCAGGGCCTAAGTCATGAACAGTTATAACACAGGTGCTACCCAGCATAGTGTCCAGAAGTGGCAGCTATCTGCAACCTTCCTGAGCTCACCTTTGTAACCATAATATGAGGAAGCAAAGAGCTATGCATAAAGTAGCAGACAGTAAGATTTTTAGGGTATGAAAGGGAAAATTACGGACATTCTGCTTACTGACTTCTAGCTGAGCAGTATTGGCTAGATTCATACATCTATTTGTAGTGTAGGACCAGATTTGTTTATATTCATCACAGATTGATACCATTTTGAAAATGTAAGCAGGACATGCTAAAAACAATGTCATGCAAAATAAAAACCCCACTAACTATATGTTATGATGTCTTTGCAGATTGCTTGTAAATGTTTACTAACACAGTCACAATTTCTGTACTTATTTGACTATGAGCCAGACAGGCAGTCCATGGACTGGCACTGGTGCATGAACTCATCTATACCACCCTGTGTCCCTCTCCCCAAAATAATTACCAAACATAAAAGCATCCAGAGACCATAGCTGAGGCAAAATAATGGCACAAGAAGCTCTTTCCATACAGCCCAGGACCATTTTCCTGTAAATAAGGCTCAGTGTATCTTTTATTATTATTATTTTATTTTGATGATCTTTACATAGTTGATTAGGGCGCAGAGAGTCCAGGGCTACAGGAAAGTGGATAAGACCGATGTTTTCACATTCTCTTTTATCCTTCCTGTATCTGGCAGAAGGGGGGAGATAAAGGGAGACGCCCCTCTCAGCCTTCCAAACATCCCAGGGTCCCTGATGTGGGGCATGCTCGAAGAACCCTGCTCATGGTGTTTCAGTAGTTCAACAGATCTGAACTGCTGCCAATCTCATCATTCCAGACATGATGAGATCTCTCCAGAGTCCACTGGCTGACTTAGTCCACCTTAGAGTCTCTGCCCAAATTTTTCACTGCCATCACATGGCTGGGGTAGTTAATCGATTTGTTCTGTCCTCCGTCCTCTGTTGTGGTACCAGGTGTCCTGTGCAGGCTCCAATGGACTGCCGTATCCTCCTTGTGCACCTGGATTTTTGTCCACTGTTCCATCTGAGCCACTGAGGAGGCTCAGCTTTGGCATACGCACACCATGGTCAGACCATGGAACCTGCAATTCTCTTCATGGTTGGGGTTCTGAGATCAGCAGTTCAGTTGGAAGGATCCCTAAAGAAATTTTGTCTGAGGTGATCCTAGACCTGATTCTTTTTTTTTTTTTAAGATTTTTTTTTATTGGAAATGCAGATATACAGAGAGAAGGAGAGACAGAGAGGAAGATCTTCCGTCACTAGTTCACTACCCAAGTGACCGCAATGGCTGGAGCTGAACCAATCCAAAGCCAGGAGCCAGGAGCTCTTCTGGGTCTCCCATGTGAGTGTAGGGTCCCGAGGCTTTGGGCCATCCTCGACTGCTTTCCCAGGCCACAATCAGGGAGCTGGATGGGAAGCAGGGCCACTGGGATTAAAACCAGTGCCCATATGGGATCCCGCTACGTGCAAGGCGAGGACATTAACCACTATGCTATTGCGCCGTGCCCAGACCTGATTCTTATATGTGATTGCCAGTACAGGGTCTGGCACAGTCTGTTGCCGCCATCAGCTTATGCATATACTGATGGTTGCAATTGCTGGGTCAGTTTTGCAGCCAGCCCTGACTTCTATACAAACCAATGGGTGTTGCTTCCCTTTTGGGTTACACTCCCACTAGTCAACATGAGCAAACTGGGGCGAGTTTGGCTGGACAGAGTGGCACCCACTAGCCTGTGTGTGTGCTGGATAGTGGGGCTGATTGGATTGAACTAGGCTTTAATGCCCACTGACATGTATGAGAGCTGAATGGGATGTAGGACAGACTGGACCAATCTGCTGTACATACTGACAGGCACAGGAACCAGGGCAGGGGGTGGTACTGGTGGGGGTTATTGTGGGTTTCTCTGATTAGGCTACAGCTCCCACTGGTTTGTGTGAGGGCTGAATATGTTGGGCAGGATTGAGCTGAACTGCAACACCCATTGGTTTGTGTAGAAGACAGGGCTGGAATCAGTGTACCTTGATTATAGGGACCAGTTGGCCTTTGCCATGATGCCAAACCCTTTTCTACTTGAGGTACATGTTCTATGAAAGAAGAATGCACACAGTGGGCAAGACTGAAAGTCTAGCAGCCACTCTACTGACTCAGGGGTTAGTGACCCTATGATTCGCACTTCTTTGGAAGATGAACAGTGAACTGATCTTCTAATTTCTTTTGTATTCTCTTCTTTCAACAAAACTTCTCTGAGGACTAGTCCCAGGGTACCTTTTGTTTTTGACTAGTTGATTACAGATGAGCCAGCCCAAGCCTCTGGAAAAAATGGCAGTTACTTACTTAGTTGTATTCCAAGCTTCCTAATTATCTTCCTCCTCTGATTGTTCCCCATCCTGCAACCTTAAGCTGCCTCATGGTCTCCTCCTTTCTTCTTCAAAAGGATCTGATATTCATTCCACCCTGAAAAGTACTTGACTTTTTAAAAATAGCCTAATCCTATATGGGTGAATGTTCCTTGCCTTTTTTAAGGGTTAATTTACTGAAACATGAGTCCAAACTGAAACACTTTTCTGAAAAACAACTCCAAGCATGTTTGTGCCTTCCTTACTTGCAGTCTGGGTGGTCCTTACCATCTACTTTATAACATACATGAGAACATTACAATAAATTGGGAATCAGATAACTTCCAAGGGCCTGCCTCTCATATTGTGTAGGCTTTCTGTTAAAAGAACTCATACTTTTGATGATTTCTAAAATATTAGAGAATTACTCTCTATACATCCTGACAAAGATCAGCACTTTTTTAAAAAGATTTATTTATTTTTATTACAAAGTCAGATATACAGAGAGGAGGAAGATCTTCAATCCAATGATTCACTCCCCAAGTGAGCGCAACGGCCGGTGCTGCGCCAATCCAAAGCCGGGAATTAGGAACCTCTTCTGGGTCTCCCACATGGGTGCAGGGTCCCAAAGCTTTGGGCCGTCCTTGACTGCTTTCCCAGGCCACAAATCAGGGAGCTGGATGGGAAGTGGAGCTGCCAGGATTAGAACTGGCACCCATATGGGATCCTGGCGCTTTAGAGATGAGGACCTCAGCCGCTAGGCCATGCCGCCAGACCCAAGATCAGCACTTTTAGTCCAAGTAAGGAGTTTCTGAAGTGAAAAAAGGTTTGCTTTAGAGGTAGTGTTTTAGATGTCAGTGCCCCAACATCACACTAAGAGGTAGTTGCCAAAGCCAGTGTTGTGTCACAGCAGGTTGAGTTG